CTTGATGTTGAGCTTAAGATTCAGTGCTGTCTTGCCGTGGCTTTTGGATCGTCCGGAAGATGAAAAGCTAAGGTGAGCTTAAGCTCTAAGCCGTAGCCTGTTTCAGAGCGCCCTGTGCACGATTGGGTCATCAAATTGAGGCCGATTTCCATTGCAGCTCCCTCTCCTCAACACTAAACCCTAAACCCTGAATCCAAAACACTAAACCCTAAACCCTAAGCCCTAAGCCCTAAACAAGCTGTGAAGGATTCTGGAGCAGATCTCTGAGGAAGACTTGGACAAGCAGGTGAGATCCTCAGCTCTGAAGCTACTCCAGGGGTGTTGTGCTGGGGATCAAGAGGAAGGAGTTGGACTCAGACGCCCAAGGCTTTCCGCAGTAGTCGTTTCGGTGCAGTCCCAAGCACAAGCTGTCGCTCGCGCGCAGCGCTTCGGGTAAACAGGAACTGCAAGAATCCGAGACTGATTGGGGGCTTCCCCGAGCCTCTGCACGTATAACACAAGACAAAGCTTCTAACCTGATTCGGGCTCTGTCGGCAGGGTGGTGCATTGTTCAAGGGGGAATGGTTCCGAACCCTCAGCGTGCGACGAACAGGTCAACCTCATTCCTTACATGAACCGTGCGGCCTACACGGTGCCCCACAAGGTCTTTGGGGGGGGGAGAATTGGGGTTGGAGGTATGAGAGTTTGGAGCCGGGTTGATTTTCTTCATCGTTTTTGCTGTGAATGTTATTGGTAGTGTCTGTTCGTTCGTCTTTGCGCTTGGCACAGGCGAGGCTCCCGTAATCTGCTGACAACTTGCCGGTACCAAGAGGTGCTGTGCAGAGGACTAGGACCTGCATCAGGAGGACTCAAACTCTGGAATAAACCGTCGTGTTTTTTTCTGTATGGCTTAGTAGTTCCTTCAGCTGATTCTGTAAAGCAGGTTGTAAGCAAGAGACCGTACTTCGGGGTTCAAGGGTACTTATAATTGCGGTTATGAGTAGCCCAAATTAAGGTTATGACTTTTAGTTACCCTACTCATAACCCTACTTATATGTTATAACTCTAGTTACACTACTCATATCCCTACTTATATGTACCCATGCACCTCCAAGCACGCCCTTAAACCTAAACCAGCCCTCAGAGCTGTCCCCCCCTCACCCCCCATTCCTAAGCCCTAAGCCCTAAACCCTTAACCCTTCACCCTTCACCCTAAACCCGAATTCGAATGCAAAAGAGGCGTCGGTCCTGAGATGTTTCGCGATCTTCCGCTCCATCGGGCGACTTGCCTCAGTTCAGGTTTAGGAGTTTAGGATTTAGGGTTTAGGGTTTAGGGTTTAAGTTTCGCTGCAGGGCCCCTGTTTTGCAAGTTTGTGGGCATGAACTTGGCTAGGTCTTGCAGAGGTTTCCTACAGGCCCCGCCGGTTAGAGGGCCTTCGACTTGCAGATGAAGCTCCTGCACATGCGGCTCAACTCGCGAAGAAAGGAGGAGTACTGAAAACAATATGCCCAGCGGCTCTTATCACGAAAAATAAAGGCACGAAACCAACCCCCACAGCCACACCTTGCCTTTTCGAAGATGCAGACATGACCAATCGTTAAGCCTCGCACAGTGGGAGAAGCTGTGATCCAGAGACATGGCTGTGATTGTGTAGCTCTCTGGATACCCGGAACTACATGTCGATGAAACATTCATAAGGGCCCTTTGCGCTTGATCGGGCCTTGCGAAGACTTTCTGAATAACAAGATCCAAGACATCGCAAGCCATGAGACGCTTTTCAGGTGTGTGTGTGCGCGCAGTGTCATCTTTGGCGAAGTCGGGAAGTGTTAGGGGATGCACAGAACAAAGCAACTAAAGCAAGTGGAGTGGGCAGAGCAAGGTGGTCTTAGGGTCAGGGTATCAGTCGCCAAGCCGAAAACACCCTAAACCCTAGACCCTAGACCCTAAACCCCAAACCCCAAACCCAAAACCCTAAACCCCAAACCTTTGGCTGCAGGCTTCGACACTTGCCTGTCCTCGACGAGCAGAGCAGAATCAGGGGCATGATAACCCGCAAGGACGGGGTTTTGCGGTTTAGGGTTTAGGGTTTAGGGTTTAGGGTTTAGGGTTTAGGGTTAGGGTTTAGGGGGGGTAGTACTTGTGCACAGCTACTAGGATGCCCAGTAGTATCCTTATTCCCTTTTGAGGGGGTTCAGGTTCCCTTATAAACCCCTTTAAGCAAAAAAGGGGCACCCTTTTTAAGCCTAGGTTACTGGGCAGCCTAGGCTACAAAAATCGACGCATAGACGCATCGACGTAGAAATTCCCCCAAAATACACGGTTAGAGCTCCAGCTGCCGGACTTATCACAACCCTGCTTGTAAAAATGGGCACCTGTGAACCTCCAAGCCGGGTTCAAGCAGAAAGCCCATGGTCCTTTAAGGAAGCAGGCAGGTATATAAGGTAACAAAAAACATGGGGTTTAGGGTTTAGGGTTTAGGGTTTAGGGTTTAGGGTTTAGGGTTTAGGGTTTAGGGTTTAGGGTAGTTTCAGGTGCTTGCATCCTTGCAAAGGTGAAGTTTCTCGACATGATGCTCGAGTGCCAAACCTTAATAACATCCATGGTACCAGTATGTTCACCTCCCAGGACATGCATAGCCAAACCTTATGAACATCCATGGTACTTGTATGTTCAAAAGACCCTACAAACCCAGCAACCCTAATCCCTAAACCTCTGAGACTTGTTTCCAAAAGCTTTGAAAAGGCTCATATCCAGGCTCTGGGCTGCCTTATTATTCGAGTAACCCTAAACCCTAAACCCTAAACCCTAAACCCTAAACCCTAAACCCTAAACCCTAAACCCTAAACCCTAACAAGGGTGCCCTCATTAAAATAGGGCTCCTGGGCTACCAAGCTCCGGCTCACGAGCCGGAGGACCTCCTGCTTGAGCACCTTCACGAGAAGAAGCGGCTTGGACTCAGGGTTTAGGGTTTAGGGTTTAGGGTTTAGGGTTTAGGGGTAGGGGCCCCTCAGAGGGTTTTTGGGGGCAGGTGAAGGCTTTAGGGTTTAGGGTTCGGGGGGTTCAGGGGGTTCAGAGGGTTCGGGGGTTCAGGGGTTCAGGAGTTCAGGGTTTTCGGCCTTGGGGGGCTTCCGGGCCCCAACGAGCTCAGGTGGGATGTCTACTCCAGTGATGCCGACGACTCTGAAGACGAGGAAAGCGCATGATGCCCATCCTAAACCCTAAACCCTCAACCCTAAACCCTAAACCGTGGCTCTCTGCTTAAAAAAGCAGCCATTGAGCAATGTAAAGCGCGTCGCCGTGACTTCCGAGACTTTAATGGGCCCCTGCATGAAGCCTGGCGCCCTGGAACCACACGTGTGTTATCCTTTGCCTGGCGCAGGTTTAGGGTTTAGGGTTTAGGGTTTGGGGTTTAGGGTTTAGGGTTTAGGGTTTAGGGTTTAGGGTCCACATCTTTTGTTGTTCCGAGTCGTCCCAAGGGGGACTGCTGTAGTTTAGCCAGAATGGCACGGCTGTGAAGCCACGGGCCCGCGACCTCGAAGCCTCCACAAAGCAGAGAAGCTGCATGCAAAACCTCGTACTGCCACGCGTTGTCACTCCAACACGGGATCTTCACCAAGAGCACTTACCAAGAAATCCTCAGAAGCTGTGTCTGACCCCAGGTTACAGTCAACAAAACCCTAAACCCCAAACCCTAAACCCTAAACCCTAAGCCCTAAACCCTAAACCCTCACAGGCCAGAACCAGAAACCATCCAGCATCCCCTGGCTGCCGTGGGCCACGTGCCGATGTCTGGCGAGTAGGGCCCGAGAGTTGTCGTAAGTTTACAGTCGACCGGCGCCACCCGTGCGAGTGCGAGGGCACACTTCTGCGAGGGATTTTCTCTTTCCAAGTTACCGTCAAGAACTCAGGATGCAAGAAGCCCTAGACTTCCTAAGCTCTGGGGTTCTACGGTTCTGGGGTTTTAGGGTTTAGGGTTTAGGGTTTGGGGTTTGGGGTTTAGGGTTTAGGGAACCGCTGCTTGAAAATTGTTGGGCAGGGATGCAGGGATGGAGCAGGAGGTGCTTTCATGGCAGCGGCTCAGGGGTGTCAAGCACTGGCAAGGGCCGCGTGGAGGTCTGCCCGCTCCAAGAATGTGGGAACTTCCAAACAAAAGACTGGGGTCGCCCTATGTTCAACTACATTTTCAATAGGGGTCATTGTACTATGCCTATGGTCCCTATACGGGGTCTACTATAATTCCCCCCCCCACCCCCCCTAAAGCCCTTTTCTAGTCATAAAAGGGCCCCCCCCCCATATTCGATTCCACCTGAAAAAAAGGACACTCTTGAATGGATCCCCTACCTTTGGAAGCCGCCATCTTGCGTTGTCCCCGAAATGCTTTGAGCTCGTGATCAGAAATTTCGCCCGGACCTGGCTTCCAGAATGATTTGGGGCCTTCCGACCATGCGGGGACAAAAAGCTGCACATTAGGGTTTAGGGTTTAGGGTTTAGGGTTTAGGGTTTAGGGTTTAGGGCGAGTAATCCTGATTCTCCCAGCCCACAAGCGACATAGATTGGAGGTTTCGAGGCCAACTGACAAGCCGAGTGCCTGCAACTCTCAATCCACAAGCCCTAACGCCCCCTAAGCCCCCAAAAAACCCCTCAAATCCACAGGGAAGCCTCCCGCGGACCAGAGTTTGGGGTTTAGGGTTTAGGGTTTAGGGTGCAAGATTTTACGGTTTAGGGTTTAGGGTTTAGGGTGCAAGGGTCAACCTGGGCCATGTGGGCTCGAGGTGAGCACTGAAGCTGCACAGCGCCTTCCTGACACACAACTTGGTATTGGACAGTAAGCACCCTTCACCCTTGTATGTTTCTAGCATGAGCTACCCAGAATACACTTTATACGCATTTTTGGTGTAGAGTATATGATAGATGTGCTTTGTATATAGTAGAGGGTATGAGTTGGTATAGCCTGCAGCATAATCTACTTCCGTACGCCTCAGGGGCCCAGTCTGTTCATAGACCTGTCTGCATCGCCGCCATGTCTTCGGAGCCGGTGCCGTGGACTTGCTTTTAGAGGATAGACACACCTGCAGTCGGCTTGGGGCTTTAGGGGTTCAGGGTTTTGGCTTCGCCGCTTGCCGGGAAGACGTGCAATCTCAGCATCATGCAGCAATCTGCACGGCTGCGCAGATGTATCCTTGAACCCTAATCCTCAACCCTAAACTCTAAACCCTAAATCCAAAACCCTAATCCTAAACTCTAAACCCTAAATCCTAATCCTAAACCCTAAATCCTAAACCCTAAGCCCGAAACCCTAAGCAGAGCTCTGGGAACCTCAGTCCCCAGCTTCAACCCTCGACACCAAGGCTTGAAGACCCCTAGGGCCCTTTGGGCCCACATGGCCATGCTGATAGGTTTAGGGTTTAGGATGTTTAGGGTTTAGTGTTTAGGGTTTAGGGTTGAGAGTTTAGGGTTTATGGTTTAGGGTTTGGGGTTTGGGGTTTAGGGTTCCCTACTTGGAGGTTCATGGGAGGCTATAAGTAGGGTCATCAGTATGGAAGCTTTTCTTAGAACCCTATAGGGCACTTATAACCCTACTTATATAAGTACCCAGTAGACGCGCTGTGCACTAGTCTGTGGACGAGTGTCCTGCAAACGTATTCGCTGCCGCAGTGGGGGACCCGCCGATGCTGTAGAGAGTGTCGGATTAAGGCGCGCTCCTACTCGCACCTGGCAAGTACCATGGAAATAGGTCTTTCGCCATGAGCCCGCCCAGGTCTCTGGCAAAAGGGAGCCCTCAGCTCGGCTGGATGACAAGGTCCAGGCAGCCATCTGGAGCATGAGCCGCCTGACTGTCAGAGCCCTGAAAGGTAGACTGGGTAGGACTCGGTGATGATTTTCGATGACATGTTTGTTCGGGCAGGTGTTTCTTTCTCCGCAGGGTCTAGAAACCTAGGTGGGCAAAGTACTGCGCGAGTTATAGCCAGATTGTAATTATGATGGGTTGCACTGGAGTGTCGTTGTTTTCTGAATCGGCCAGCAACAATTTCGCGTGGCCTCCACCTTCACATCTTCATGTCCACTCGTAGTTAAGCGTCCCTGTGTGGTTTTACTCCTTAACCTTAAGCGGCCTAGGTCAGAGCTTCGTGAACCTATACTAGAAGAGCTATAGTACCAGAGGTGGTGGTGGAGAGGAGGAGGAGGAGGAGGAGTAGGTGTACGAGAATGCTTGTAGTAATAGTCGAAGTAGCATAGTGGTTGCAGAAGCAGTCGTAGCAAAATTGAAATGGCAAGTGAGATGAAAATGGAAATGGCAATAGGTGCTATAGCAGCCATGGCACTTGTCAAAGTAGTCGCAAGGATGCCCGCACCTCTCGAACCCCACAAGGTGGAGTGGGTTGTTACCGAAAGCGTCCTTGCTTCATTGAGTGCTGAAACCTCCTGCACCAAAGGCAGCGATGGCGTCCCCACGGACAAGATCGCGCTGTGCTTGGGCCTGTTTAATTTCGTCGAACCTGGCAAGCTACCCCAAACCCTGTAGACCCTAAAACCCTGAAACCCTAACACCCTAAACCCTAAACCCTAAGCCGAAAACCATTCCCAGCCTCTGCCCTCCACGCAAGGCCCCTCAAACATGAATCCCAGCTTTCAACTCCCAAGACCTGCCTTGCCAACAAATCAACTAAGACGTCATGACACCCCGAGAAACTATACTAGGCTGTTACGTACTATTCTAGGATTGCTAGACTACTGCTATACTGTTGTTACGATGCTGCACTACGCCTGTTCGCAATTAGCTGCCCTACACCCTGAGCTTGAACTCCAAACCTCTCACCTAAGCGTAAAATCCGAAACCCTCCCAAGCCCTCAAAGCCTTACATCACCCAGAACCCTCATCACCCCACCCCAAGACCTTGAACCCTAACCCTGAGTAGAACCCCTGATCCCAGAGTAGAACCCCTAAACGCCGAAACCCTAAACTCCAAAGCCACGATTTCTGGACTGTAGACCGTGCCTGCCCCCCCTGAACCAAAGCTATCACCCCCTGCACTCTAAACTATCACCCCCTCCCAAACCTATCAACCCCACACCCTAAACCCTTGTGAAATCCCTAAACCCTAAACCCTAAACCCTAAAACCTAAACCCTAAACCCTAAACCCTAAACCCTAAACCCTAAACCCTAAACCCTAAACCCTAAACCCTAAACCCTAAACCCCCCCCCCCCCTTGGAGGTATCTAGAGCTCACAGCGGACGAAGTGGTCGCTGGCCTGGCGAAACGTCGCCGCACCGACGGGGCAAGCCAGGAGACCACTCCTTTAGGGGGTTTATGGGGTAGGGTTTCGGGTGCAGGGTTTAGGGTTTAGGGTTTATAGGGTTTATAGGGTTTATAGGGTTTATAGGGTTTATAGGGCTTATAGGGTTTATAGGGTTTATAGCGTTTATAGGGTTTATAGGGTTTATAGGGTTTATAGGGTTTAGGGTTTATAGGGTTTATAGGGTTTATAGGGTTTATAGGGTTTATAGGGTTTAGGGTTTAGGGTTTACATAGGTTTTAAGGTTGAGGGGCTTGGGGTTTGAGGTTTAGGGGCTTGGGATCTCAGGGCTTTAGCACTTTTAGGGTGGGAGGTTTTAGCACTTGAGGCTGTGAGTCGCGGCTCAGGGTGCTGTTTTGTTTTTCTTTGGTTTGCTTCTTGGGTCCCGCGTTGTTTTTTCGTCGGTCTGGCAATCCTGGTTCCATGCTCTGGCCCGCCAACCCCCTATTCAGGGTTTAGGGGTTTAGGGGTTTAGGCTTTAGGCTTTAGGTTTAGCGAGCCGCGCATGCTGTGCGGGCTCATGGCAGTGAAATCCCATCAGAGTCAGGCGAACATTGTGCTCAAATGCCGGGGCTGCTTCCCCCTAACCCCGCCCCTCTTGTAAGCTGCGAAAGACTTTCATAAAGCGAAGGAAAGTTCCCCTAGAAAATGCTTGAGCATGGTGGGTGACCGCAGCAAGCGGAGGAAATAGAAAAACCCCGGAGAACTTTAGACTACAGCCGGGTAGAGAAACAAAAGCCGGGTGCAACTAAATATGCAGGAAACGCTGGAGCGTATGGCCTGTGGTGACGCTGTGAACAGCCAAGGGCAGACCATAGAGTACAGTTGTACTCCATTCTGTCCCTTACCCAGTTCTCTCCCGACAGAACTACAGCGCTCGAGTAGCCCTAAACCCTTAACCCTTAACCCTAAACCCTAAACCCTAAACCGTGTCTCCTCACGTCTGGTTTCGAAGCTCGTGAGTTGTCTGCCAGGACAGCGCATCGAGTGCCCCCGTGGACCCCAGGACGTCGGACCAGGAGGGCATGGAGTCACTGGCCCCTCGCCACTTCCTAAACTTAGGGTTTAGGGTTTAGGGTTTAGGGTTTAGGGTTTAGGGTTTAGGGTTTAGGGTTTAGGGTTTAGGGTTTAGGGTTTAGGGTTTAGGGTGTTCCCCCTTATACTAACAGTCCTTCATGGGGATTATAGTAGGGGGGTACTATAATCCCTGTTAAGAACTGTTAGCATAAGGGGGGACATCCCAAAGGGAAGCCTTGAAACTTGTAAGGGGGCGCGCTTTTGTTAGTGTTCAGCGAGAATATGGTTTGAAGGGAACTTGTTGGATCTCTGCAATCTTTGGAGGGTTCTTGAACGCAGAAGCTATCTGTTTCTATTCTGGTGGCACAGAGCTCAAACTCTCACACGCTTCGTGCTTGGAACAGGGTTCCTAGAGCCCAAATCCGGAGCAAGATTCCTTCCTTTTCAGGATCCGCTCTTTTTCCTGAGTGTTTTTGGGGAGTTATTGGAGAAATTTCCCTACTCGACTAGGTATTGGCCACAAATGCTGTACTGGTTGTTTTTGAAGCCCACGATGTAGTGAGCGAATTCTATTTTGAGAAGCTGACCACAAGATCAGCCACAAGAGTCCTATGTAGACCAGACCCTATTGCGAGGAAGGGAGGCATTACTATCGAGGTTTACGAGGTGCTTGAGGATTTTTGCCTTTGCCTCCTACATACACTACAGCCCAGCTGAATCCCAGCCATATCGTATAGTCTTTTGAAGCATATTAGCGTATACCTTGGAGACCAAATGAACCCTAAAAGGGTTTACGGCTCAGATGCCTTAGTAGGGATCATAGTAGTACGGGGTGTCACTGTATCTGATCCCAATGTTAGGGTTCATGTGGTCCCCGAGGTAGTATACTTGGAGGCTGAGGGTACCTAGTAACCCAACTATAGCTGTACTTCTAAGCCGATTATAAGCCTATTCGGGTACTTAAGGGACTTAGAAGCGGTTGAGAGATACACTTATAATTGGGTTATAAGTACCCTAAACCCTAAACCCTAAACCCTAAACCCTGCTTTGATTTGAGGTCAACCGGCTCTTGACAGACCCCGAAGAGTTTCTTTGTCCCATCCTCCAGTCACTCATGGAACATCCGGTGGTGGCCGAGGACTTTGGGATCAGGGTTTAGGGTTTGGGATTTAGGATTTAGGGTTTAGGGTTTAGGTTTTAGGGTTTGGGATTTAGGGTTTTGGGTTTTGGGTTTTGGGTCTAGGGTTTAGGGTTTAGGGTTTGGGGTGCTAGTGTGTGCCAGCAGGCTATGAGGTTGAAACCACGGATTGCGCGCTTCCCCAGAATCGTCCCTCGAAGGCCATAGCAAAGCACTCACGGAAGCGAAGATTTGCCAATTTTTGCACGCAAGAAAACAGAGAGTCTTGAAGGCTGTGTACTGCTTTGCGGGCTACGGTGCTAGGGTTTGGGAAGCTGTTCTGCTCTGTAAACCGGATGTAGGGCTCCTTGACGTCAGGTTTCAGATATGAAGCAGGGTTTATATGGCTGTTTTTGGTGAGTGTATGTAAGGTTCCTTTTTAATATTGGTGAGTGTATACCTTGGGTGTCCTTTTGGGGGTACAAGAAATATAAACCCTACTTCATATGGGTTTGGGAGGATGCAGCGCTTTGAGGCCTCACAGCCTTGATCCTGTTCAGCATTGTCAAAAGGCCGGGGGTGAAGGTTTAGGGTTGAGTCTTTAGGGTCTAGGGTTAAAAAGGCGCGGATGCGTTGAAAGGTCCCAAGGTGTCCCAGGCAGGTCCAGGGATCCCAGAAAAAGGCGGGTTTGAAGGGGGGGGTTTAGGCCTTGAGTCTAGGGGCTTCCTCGCGGCCCCCCAGCTCCCCAAGCCCCGACGTCCTTGCAACGATTCCGTCCTGAACCCCAACAGAACTGTAGGGTTTCGGGGTTTAGGGTTCAGGGTTTAGGGTTTAGGGCTTAGGGTTTAGGGCTTAGGGTTTAGGGCTTAGGGTTTAGGGTTTAGGGTTTAGGGTTTAGGGTTTAGGGTTTAGGGTTTAGGGTTTAGGGTTTAGGGTTGCGGGAGGACGGGTTCACCTACGAGAGGGAGGCCATCGAGGAAGCCCTGCAGAGACGTGCTCGGAGCCCGAAGACCAACACCACCATGGGTGACAAGGCTTGGAGCAGAGCTGTTTAGGGTTTAGGGTTTAGGGTTTAGGGTTTAGGGTTTAGGGTTTAGGGTTCGGCCTTTTTCTGTAGGTTTGCACGAGTTTGAGAAGGGCAGCTCCGGAGGAAGAGGCCGAGGTTGAAGGCTGCCATCCGGAGATTTTTGTTCGCTTTCATCTGGGGGTGGCAGCTGCGTTCTTGGGCTGCGTGGTTTCAAAATCGCTGCAAGCCTTGGGCTCATGGGGCTTGTGACGTGAGCTGTGTCTCGGAGGAGTTTAGGGCTTACCAGAGGAGGTGTCGCGGAGCTTCCCTGTTCGGACACACATTGGGCGCTTGTAGTTGTTGCTTCCAAGACTATGGCGTCATCTAAGCGAGTAAGCCTCAAAGCAGGTGGTGCGTTCAACACGAAAGCGTTGTGAAAGTCACCATATGCTCACGGAAGGTTGTCTCCGCAGTGTTGATACGCCGTGTTCCAGATGAAGAACCCTGAACCCTAAACCCTAAACCCGAAACCCTAAACCCTAAACCCTAAACCCCAAACGAAGCATTGGGCTTGCCTAAAGTGCCCGCGAACGCAGGTCATCCCGAACCAAGACAAGAAGACAGCCATCACGAACTACAAGGCTGGGTAGCCCAGTGATACCCTAAACCCCTAAACCCCTAAACCCTAAACCCTAAACCCTAAACCCTAAACCCTAAACCCTTGGTTTTGGTTCTGGTATTTTCTCTTATAAAGTAACCAACCCAAAAAAAGAGGGTGCCCTTATTATACTAGGATGCCCAGTAGTAGCCTTATTCCCTTTTTGGGGAGGTTTAGGTTCCCTTATAAACCCCTTTAAGCAAAAAAGGGGCACCCTTGTTAAGCCTAGGTTTCTGGGCAGCCTAGTATAAGATGGTTACTGGGCTACCAAGAAGGAGAAGACCATGCAGGAGATCATGTCCCTGGCCTCCTCCGTGCCCAGTGGACATGCCCAGAAGCTGCTTCTCCGAGCTGAGGGCTTCGTTCGGCCCTACCTCCCAGACAGAAGCACGCAGCGCAAGCTGGTAAAGCTGCTTCAGTTAAGGGCCGGTCTGCCAGCCATTCTTCGGGGCGATGCGGTCAAAGAGCTCATCGATATTCTGGCCCATGATCCGGCAGAAGAGGAGGCCGTGAGAGAGCTTTTGGTCCATTTTGAGGACTGGGGCGCAGGCCCCCACATGACATCGCCATCTGTCAGTGACGAGGCTGTTGCCCACTTCCGCACGTTGGCACGGAAGCCGCCCGCCCTTCCCTGCCACGAAGCTTTGGACCGAGAGCTTGCGCACAGATTGGCGGCCCAAGTGGATTCTGCCAAGGGCTCGGAGGCTCTCTGGCAGTTTGCTTTGGAGCTGGGCGCGGGTCCCCAAGCCGGTGTTTGGCTTGAAGGGGCTGCTTGCGTTCTTGCCGCCGTGCATGGAAAGATCCAGATTGACCTGGCAGATCTCTCGGACGCACTCCTGAGGGCTGCAGCCAGGTTTCTGCAAGAACCCAGAGACAGAGGCGCCGAGGCTTTGGTTGCCGAACTCTTCGGCTACAATCTTTGTCGTAGTAGTCTCAGTGGAGCTGCTGGCGCTGGCGGCTCAAGCTCGCTGGCGGCGATACTCTTGGAACGGGCCAAGCGATGCGAAGCAAACAAAGATTCCGACGAAGAAGCTTTGCTGCTGGAAGCATATGCCGCAGATCCCACCCACGTGGGCGTTCGAGAGCGCCTGCTGGAGCTCCTGCTTGGAGCTTTGGAGAGCTCTGGGAAGGTTGACAGGGAGGACGTCCTGCTGAAGCTGCTCTTTGTCCAGCACAAAAAGGTGCCAGAGGAGTTGCTGCCCAAGCTTTCCCTAGACCAACATCACGTCCAAGCCTTGGACCCGCAATCCGCCCTGGCCTTGGCAGAGCAGTTGACTTCAGCGAGCCGTTCACGTGATGGCGCGAAGGTTGCTGTTTTGGCTGCCCAAGCGTTCGATGCGTCCGGGAGAAGGGAGGATGCACAGCGAGCGTACATTCGCGCCTACAACATGGACCGTAGCAACGCGGATGCTTCGCACGGCGTAGTTGAGACCTGCGCCGAGTTGAGGACGAAGATTGATTCTTTGGAGCGCCGCGTGGCAGAGCAACAGGATCTGATCGAGAAACTGACTCTTCAGGTGCGGGAGAGGAACACGCAACACAGGAGCATGAGCCTGGCAGGCGGCTGTGGCTTTGCTTGGGACATTTCAGAGATAGATCCCGCTCAAGTGCCGAACGGGCAATGCAGAGAGAGTCCGAAATTTTTGCTGGCTGCGCACGGAATAACACTCTGGATTAGATATTACCCACAGGGCAACAAGGATGCAAATAATGCAAATAATGGAATGGCAAGTGTTTTTTTGCACCGCTCGCAGCTGAGCAAAATCGAGTGCAGAATCTCCGTTGGTGGTAAGGAGAGAATCTTGGGGTCGGAGACGCCATTCGTTGAGGCAGGAGAAGGACGGGGATGGTGCAAGTTCATTCGAATCGGCTGTCATCGGGAAATCCGCGTCCGCATCGACGCAGTGCAGCTGAAGGACTCTGCCCTCAAGTGCCTTTACTGAAGTCCTTCCCGGGCTTGTCCGGTTGTGTTCAAACGCAGCATCCTCGGCTGAAAGCAGCAAGTAGTGCGTTTTAGCTCCTCCTGTAACCCTAAACCCTCAACCCTAAACCCTAAATCGCATGGTCCTGTTTGAGTGTGCTCGGCCCACGGGAACAAAACAGGATGCTGCAGGTTCGCCTTGGCAGTTCTTGCCTTATACTGCAACTTTATGGAGTGGTAACATGGAGGCCTCAATAATCAGAATAGGGTTTTGGGGGGGGTTGTTCTAGTAAAAATACAAAGGGGCTCCATAAGGGAATAAGATCAGTAAACATTCCGACCCCAATATCCACCAAACCCCTGAAGCCGCACTGTCGAAGTTATGTACCCCGGGAACCAAAACCCGACCCCCAAAATTGCAGAAAAATGTACTTATAGACTACGGTAACCCTCAGCCCCAAGCCCGAACCCTGAAAGCCTTCAATTGAAATCGGCTGCCTTCCACACATGTCAAACCGGAGGCCCGAAGCCAGCGGCCTAGGATGGGAGCTGTTTCAGGGGTTTGAGGGAGGTTGGGTTTAGGGTTTGGGGTTTGGGGTTTGGGGTTTAGGGTTTAGGGTTGTTGTAGGGCCTTAAACAGTTGCTTTCGGTCAGAGATAGAGGAGCCTGCATGATGATGCCCTACAGCAAGTCTAGCTCCCCAAATACCCCAAAGAACCCTAAGACCCTAAACCCTAACCCATGGCTACCCAAATACCCCAAAGAACCCTGAACCCTAAACCCATGGACCCATAGAGGATAGGCCCTCGAACCCTTGGCCCCAATTTGCTGGCCCGGCCCCCGCAGCTGCCTGCGAAACCCGCCGCCCGAAGAGCGGGCGGCGCAGCAGACAGTTTAGGGTTTAGGGTTTAGGCAGGTTCGGGGCTTTGAAGGTTTAGGGTTTAGGGTGTAGGGTTTAGGGTTCAGGGTTTAAGGGCTTAGTTAAGGGAGGGTGATCTAGAGATTCCTATAGTCTCCTTAGAAAGAAGATTGTTGTTTGTGCGTCATATAACCCAAGGGAGGATGTTGAAGTACGTGTTGCTTATCACGGTTCTCAGGGCGGTATCGTCTTACAATGATGTAAACTCTAAGCCCCAGAAGGTTGCATATTTAGGCGCCGGAATGGAGATTGCGAACGCCTCTTGCGGCGGCCGTTAGCCATGGAGCGTTCTTCCCTGTTCTCCATCTCCATCCACTGCCCTGCGCTGAATCTCAAAGGCGCCTCAGCCCTAAGCCCTAAACCCTGCACCCTAACTCAAATTCCAACCGAATCTTGGGCACCGAACTAGCCCAAAAACCGCACCCAACAAACCCTGAACTTATTCCCTTTTTGGGGGTTGTCAGTTTCCTTGTAGACCCCTTTAAGCAAAAACGGACACCCTTTCTAATCCCAGGTTACTGGGCAACCTAGATTCTGTCGAACGAATCGACTTACTGTCGTATATGTTTTGGGAACCCTAAACCCTAAAGTCTAAAACCTAAACCCTAAACCCTAAGAATTGGGCGTGCCTGTCAAAAAGCCCGACAACCAAAGCGCCCAGGCACCTGGGTCCTGCAGCTCGCGGGGCAGGCATCCAAAAAAAGCCCTGAAGCTGTTCAGGGTTTAGGGTTTAAGGTTTAGGGTTTAGGGTTTAGGGTTTAGGGGTTTAAGGTTTAGGGTATAGGGTTTAGGGTTTAGAGGTTTAGGGTTTAGGGTTTAGGGTTTAGGGTGCAGGGTTTAGGAAATTCCCCCCCACCCCTGGCTCCTCCTGCGTCCCCAAAAGAGGTCAGCGAGCTGATCCGGGAGTGCCTCTCGAAGTTCCTCGATGTCCTGCGTTCCAGCGGCGCGGTTACCGTCGAGAAGCAGGTGGAGGGCTTGGGGGGGGGGGGGTTTAGGGTTTAGGGTTTAGGGTTTGGGGTTTGGGGTTTAGGGTTTGGGGTTTGGGGTTGCATCATCTCAGCTTTCTGGACTCTGAGCATCACTGACTAGGCACTTATTCCCTTCTTCTTGGTGGGGGGGGTTCATCAGGTTCGCTTCTAAGCCCCTCTAAACGCAAAAAAGGTACCCTTTTTTGGTTCCTAGCCCTAAACCTAAACCCTGAACAGTTATTCCTTGGTTACTCTTGGGTATAGCTGAATCATGGATGACATTGCTCTGCATGGTGAGGAAGCAGCATCATGCTCACATGCTGCCAGGTTGGCAGCTGGGGGTCTTTCGTTTTCTGTTGGATTTAGGGTTTAGGGTTTAGGGTTTAGGGTTGAGGCCTGAGGGTTTAGGTGATTCCTGGGTTGCCGCATCCTCCACATTCGGGCAACTCATTAATCACCATCTGCGAGGGCGTCTTGCAAGAGCTCCCAGGAAGATGTTTACGCCTTGCATCCTCCCATCCAAAAGCTAATCATGCTTGGATGTTCGTGGGAAGTTAAAAGTATGGCAACCCCCCAAAACCCCTAAACCCCTAAAGGCCCTAAAGGGCCTTTAGGAAACGCCCTAAAGGCCCTAAAAGGCCCTAAAGGCCCTAAAACCCTACAGGCCCCGAAAGGCCCTCAACTCCACCGATGAACCTCCAAAGCGAAAGGCGGGCCCCTGAAGTCTTGAAACCCTAAACCCTAAGCCCTAAACCCTAAACCCTAAACCCCTTTCCCCGCTGCCTTTGAGGGGGACCTCTCCGCCGGGCAGGTGCTTCTGATCGTGCCTCGGAGTCGGAAACCCTGAACCCTAAACCCTAAAATGTAAACCCTAAACCCTAAACCCTAAACCCTAAACCCTAAACCCTAAACCCTAAACCCTAAACAAACCCTAAACCCTAAACCCTAGACCCTATCTTTTGACTTCAGGCCTTCAGGATGTCAAGGCCCAGGATGCCAGGAGGGCTCGGAAGGGATCTGGATCCACCAGAATTCCCCCATCCCCCCCACTCACCACGGTTTAGGGTGTAGGGTTTAGGGTTTAGGTTTTAGGGTTTAGGGTTTAGGGGTTAGGGTTTAGGGTTTATAGGGTTTAGGGTTTAGGGTTTAGGGCAACAGGGTTCAGGGTGCAGGGTTTAGGGTTTCGGGCAGAGGCTGCGGAAACAGTGGCAAAGCCTTTACCCTCAGGACTCGCTGCTGTACAAGCGGCTTCGCGAGTGGGAGGCTCTTCCCGCAGCTATCAGCACATTTTCTCAGATGTTGTATTATATTGTGGCATAGATGTTGTGTGTGTGTGTGAGCAGTTCTTAGATACATATGTAGACATATAGAAATATATAGTCATCGTAATACTGTGTGTATATGTAAAAATGTATAAATATAATATGTACATACATAATCATGTGATATGCAACTTGTCTACTGCTATATGTGAGTAGGAAAGTTCAATCGCGACATCCCGGTTAGACTGGCAAGATCGGCCCCCTTCTTCGAATGACTACAATGAGCAGCGAAAGTTGCAGAAGCAACCCTAAACCCTAAACTCTGGACGCGCACGATGACGTTGGTTTTTGTTCCCCTGCGAGGGCTCAGGCCCATGTGCCTTGTTTGGATACGTAGGGCGTTATAGAGTGTTACACTGTCAGGCATCAAACCGCGGGTTTTCCAGTATTCCACAGCCCTTGTTTTTGTTTTGCTGGTGCTGACAGCCTCCCGAAGAGAGTGTAAGCCCTGAACCCAAAACCCCTAAACTCCTGAACCCCTGAACCCTTAATTATGCTCCACATGGGTAGTTCCCAAACTGGGATACCCCGAATATGTCCCAGAAATTCTCGAATCCTTATTTTAGGAGCCAACAAAAAGGGTACCCCTAAACCCGAAACCCCATCTTCGGAATCCCCGCATGGTGCTGCACAGGAGAAGATGAAAGACTGTCAGCGGATTGAGAGGGAAAAGGACAGGGTTGCAGCTTTAGGTTTAGGGTTTAGGGTTTAGGGTTTAGGGTTTAGGGTTTAGGGTTTAGGGTTTAGGGTTTAGGGTTTAGGGTTTAGGGTTTAGGGTTAGTTTAGGGTTTAGGGTTTAGGATTTAGGGTGCTGAAACTATGCCAGGAGAACTGGGAACGGCGTGTGAACGACATGCGCTGGGCACCCAGCTCTAGGGAGCTTTCAGTCAAGAAGCTGTTTTGCAAGCCGGTGTACTACTAGAGGCTTAAGAACACAACCCAAAAAACAAAGTTGTATGGGCAGTACAGGGATTGTTGTCTTTGTTTCTTCGGGGGAGGGGGGGGGGGGGTCTTAAGCAAACAGCAGGGGCAAACAGCAGGGGCAGTGTAGCCTTGACGGTGTGCTTGGAGGTTCACGGGTAGGTATAAGTAGCGTGATAAGTATGGGAACTCCCTGTGTGGAGGGGTTGGTCGCGGTTTCGGGCCCTTTTTGGTACCCTTGGGCTACACAATGGAGACATGCAACAATTACTACCGCGAGTCCACATACAGACTCCGATGGCTTCAGCTGCCGAGCTTGTGTCGGCTGTCAGCGCCAGATCGAAGAGCACTGCCATGGAAATCCAGGGTCGCATCCACCATCGAGGCCCCAAACCCGAAACCCCCCTTCAAGGGATTATACAGGGTCCCTAATTTCCTACTAACCAACAGTAAGTAGGTGGAAGAGAGAAGCGTAAGCAGCCCTAAACCCCCACTGATTTGGGAACTTCGGTGTCTGAGCCATGGCCGCGTTCGTGGCGGTGCTCAAGGCAGCCCTCAGGGCTCTGGGAGTCTCGATCACAGCTATGGCTGCTGGTTTTGCTGGGGCGCCTGTGTCGCAGGGTTTAGGGTTTAGGGTTTAGGGTTTAGGGTTTAGGGTTTAGGGCAGTTGGGTAACTTTTTGCAGTTTTAAGGGTACTTGAACCCAAGAACCCTAAAACCCTAGTACTTTGTGTCATAGCTGGGCCACAACTTACACTTCTAAGGGCACCTAAACCCAACAGGGAATAGAAGTTTACGTGGGTAGCCTTTTACATTTCTAAGGGTACCTAAACCCAACAGGGAATAGAAGTTTAAGTTTTTTGAGGTACTATCCCCAACCACGAAGTAGGCA